TGTGCACACAACAGGGATCGATCCCATGGCCACCTGATGTTACGATAATGTCCCGTACTTATGTTAATTGATGTCAATGAAGTTTACCAGTTGCAGTTTGAAATGGTACTCTTGAAACGACGAGTCACTAACTGTTACATCTACGAAGTTGCAGCTTACTAGAATTCACCTTACTGTGCTTATACGCGATCATAATAAAATCGGAAACTGGCCGTGGGGTTAAGTTCAATTATTAATACTTACATATTAACTCTTACTCGAGTCGCGAACTGCAATAACGTTTTCACAAAATATGCCATTCACAGTGAACTATTGCACTGTAATGGGCTCAACTCAACTTGTTAGTTCCCAAGATCAATGTACAGTTAATCCCTTTGCAGTGTTGCTTGTTATACACTTGTCAATTTGCCCTGAACTACCAACGATGCAGCCCACGTCCGTCGTCACTTTGTTCGTCCTCGCTTGCGCTGTCGCGGCCACTCTGGCCTTCCGCCCGTCGACCGACGCCCCTTCGTCGGATTTGGAACCCCTTGCGGTTGTCGCCGAAGGCAGCCATGGCGCTGTGAAGGGCACCAACGGCATCTTTTATTGGGGGTGCGGTTCGTACGGTTGCTGCCCCTACGGATGCTGGCGCCGGGGCTTTTAAATCGCGCGATCAACTTCATGTGTACCAACAGCTAGTGTCAGGAATCATCCCCACCGGTGCGACTGTAAACTTGCTAAGTGTAAATACGATGATTCCTTTAACTTTTACTTCGTTGTGTCAACGTTTCAATTTTACTAGTACGTATCTGAACTCGCGAAAATGACACGACAATAGCATTTCTAAGCAACGTTACTGCTTGAACGCAAGCTACCTATCTCTCGTTAGAGCAAACGCTGGACATCCACGAACGCAGCGGTCACGTACCATGATACGAAGCGGTTTGACGAGTGAAGTGTTACGAGTGACAGGGGCTGCGGACATCACTCGCAACGATGGCCGCATCCGTCGAAAGCGCGGGGTTGCAGTGTGTGATGAGACAGGGTGGCATCACGCTCCATGAACATCGTGGGCTTGGTCGGGCAGCGCATTGGCAGCGTCCGTGGTGGCGCGAGAAAGCTGCCAGGTTCACCGATGTGATGAAACTTGTTAAAACTGCGCATTTTTCTGCCCAATCAGCGAATTGTAGCAATTTCTTTGATTTCGAACTCATTTCTGTCCAATCGGTCCAACATACTAAAGTTAATTAGAATCTGCCTGACGACCCAACTCCCGACCACGAGCAGTGCATGACTTCGTTCTGGGCTTGGTCGTTTGGCCGGTGAAAGGTTTCCCGGGGTCCGAGGCAAAGTGCAGTGACGTGGTGTGATTCCAAGAGAAATACGGTTCACTATATGGCGAACGCCAGGTGCGGACGGCATTCACGGCTTCGGGGTTGCGTGGCATGCTGCACGACACCGGAATGAAACAACGTTAATAAATATCACGCTAAAAGAATTTGTAATTCTTTTTTTTTAACATACTATTAGGATGTTTTTATATTTGTCCGAATCTTTACTCGAAGGGATTGCAATTTGGCTTTTTTGATCGAATATACGAACTGCAATCGAAAAATACTTCATATGATTGATCAGACTGTAGTACCATTTGTGTGTATTGCGAGGGTGTTATGGATGTCAAACTCGATAGAGTGCAAGTTCAAGGGGAGGCAAACATCGTGCAGTTTGCATATATATTCACGTCACTTTGCGATACCGTATTGTCCTTTTACCCAAAATATGAACTTTTGTGGTGATTCGCCAAATCTATCATTCGGTTCTTTGTACTGAACTTTGTATGGAAAGTGTTGTCCTGTGGTAATTGTAATCACATTAAGTCACACACTAATTAAACAACATTGATGATGGTTTCCTGCAATCTGATTGGCTCAATTCTTCTGTCGATTCTTCTGCACATTTGATTGTGTCAATTCATTCTCCATGTCGCTCCAGTTTAGAATAAACACAAAAATATTGCTGTGTCTATTCTAAACTGGAGCGACATGGAGAATATTAATCGACACAACCCAATGTACTGTACACAAGAATCGGCAGAAGAATTGAGCCAATCACATTGCCGGAACCTCATCAATGTCGAATTAGTGTGTGGTTTCAATTAGTGTGATACCAATCACCTCAGGACACCTTTTTACATACAAAATTCAGCACAAAGAATCGATCGATAGATTTGGCGACACTGCACAAAAGTCCAAATCTTGGGTATTGTTGATTTGATATACAAATTTGGGGAGAGGGTGCAATCGAATCGCGCCGACCAAACCGATCCACAATCGATCTGATTGGTTGAATTTCATTAAGAAGGTTTTGATTGGCTAATAATTTTGAGCTCATCTGAGGTAGCCAATCAAATCGATTTAAATTCCAACGAGAAACCACGCCACAACACGAAATTTCCCTCGAAAGCACAATAAAAGGACATTAACACTTCCGTAGTTCAAACCACGGAGATTGTTAGTATTAGTATGTTTAGTATGTTGGAGTTACTCGGACTTCTTGGCAGGCAGCGTCAAGAGATGAATCTTCAAGTGCGCGCAGATCTCAAACACTGCCGAAAGGATGTAGTGGATGTACACTGCCGTGGCGACCCCCGCGTACACGACGGACGCCACCATCGGCGATGCGATAGAGATTCCGGCGGCGGAAGGCACGTACACAACGACCAGGTAGGCCGCCAACGGTACCAGAATGCGACTTTGCATCGAAAACGGCACTTTCGACATGTGGCATACAATCATGCGAGACTACACAAACATAATCGATGATTTCAAAGCAAACACAAGATATGTCATAGAATAGATATGAAACCGACCGACATGAGTACAAAATTGAGGCCAAACGGTCCCACGAGAACCAGCGGATGCGACAAGTACACGGCACGAGCAGGACCCACAATCATGGACAAGTACCCGCCGGCAATCACGGCGGCCACGGGCACCAGCTGACGCAGCGCTTGGAGTTTCGACAACTACATAGCGTTTACGTCGTTGACATTTGATTGAATAGGGTGGTTCATTATTCATAGAGTGACGTACATCCTTGTGGCCTACTTGGTCTTGTGCTAGTGGCGCAGCAGTAAACACATTCTTGACGCTAGATATCATGACATGTGAAGAGATTACGAAGGATAAAGATCGATAGATCTCGCACGTCCGTACTTGGCGTACACCAGCAATACATTGCTTGCAAAACATGTCAAAATGAACACCTGCCCGCACGTAATCGATGCAAACGGCAACAGTGGCTGGGTCAACCAAAAGTCATCGCCTAATCATACAAAAGTTGAGGAAACTAGTCAAATCAATAGACTCGTACCCACAGCCGCCGTGAGCAAAAGACACACAATGAGCGTCAGTTGGCCTTCGGTGACACCATAGTACCCGTTGCCACAGCTCATCGTGCCCGTGTGGTACTCGTCCCTGCAAGCTCAACGAAGTTGTAGAAGAAGGTGTGCAGGATATAGTTATGAATTGCATTGAACTTACCACTGCGCGGCAAAGAAGTTGACAGACACGCTGGAAAGACCCGCAAATGTGTACGTCGAGTTGCCTGCGCTGAACGCCACACATGCGGTGAGGCAGTTGAGCAACGCACTGAGCGCATCGCACCCTACGCAACATGTAAGTCCGTGGTGACGATCGTCGATCGTTCATCGTGGTAGGAGTTGCACCGTGGTCAAAGAGCTGTCCGAGCGGGCTGGACGACCCCGTGCGCCGCGCCTGCTTGCCGTCAATGGCGTCCAGGGTCTGGTACACGAAGAGGCCGACCCCGCTGAGAACGTAGGCCCAGCCAGGCGCGCCGCCTTCCATGTTGGGACTGATCGCAAGCAAGAGGACGGTCGTGAGGATCACAATGATCGTGCCTGTCAACGTCACCAGGTTCGGTGCCATCCACAACGGCAAGAACTCGACCATGGCATTCCAGAAGTGGTTCAACTGGAGATCCAAGAATGTGTAGCTGCCGCTACAGGGAAGTGATGTGAGTATGCGCATGGAGGACGCATGACGACGTACGCCTTGTACTTGTACGCGGCAATGCCCTCGAGAGCTTGCTTGGAGAGGACGCCCATGGTGATGATGGGAATGCGTAGGTTGTCGACGATTTTTATCCGGACAAACCACGTCCAGCGATTGGATTTGGCGGCGTTTCATATATTTGACACAATTAAAATACGACGAAGTATGATGTAGACAATATAAATATTGCGTTCGTCGTAACTTCAATGCTGCATGGAGTTAGCCCAAACTGGAGCAGGGTGTACAGTGTCCCATAATGGCATGCATTGCTAGAGGGTTAGAGCTAACCACTGCCGCATCAAAATAAACCACAGGTGAACAGGAACATGCGCATAAAATGACAAATGCGCCAAGAAGTGCTGTGGACGTTTAGCTGTGGACAAACTTCACGTGGTTGAATTGTCCACCTTCTATCGCTTGCGCGTACAAGTCGTCCAAATCGACAGGGCGGCGCACCATCCCAATCGAAACAACCATGCTAACTTTAAACGATATGTCGTCGCTCGGCTGTGATGTCCACGTACGTACGTACAGTATATTACCCGACACTGAATACTATTGTGCTTCTTTCTCTATCTAAGTACGACGACTACGTTGTTGCCGTCACGGTTGTTCGCGTGCGACTGCTGCTGGTACTCAGGTACTCGTACATGGTCCAAGTGATGGCCGTGCCCAACGTCCGCTTGAACACTCGTGGTAGCACCCCTCGCAGGAACCCGCGCACGCCTTCGTCTGCAAACATCTTGGCCATCGTGGCTCGCACGGTCATGCCGTTCATTTCTAGCTGCATGCGGGTCTTCACGACGTCGAATGGATGGACGAGAACGGTCGCAGAGACGCCGGCGACGACGCCGCAGCTAAAGTTGACAGCCACGGGGTGGTGGACGCAGTTGTCGCCGCCGACCGTGTTCTTCAAACGAGTGTACAACGTCACATACAGCCCCGAGAACGGCACATCTCGCAGCAATGTGGGCCATACCCCTCGATACAAGCCTTGCCAGCCATACGTAGCCACGAGGGATCGAAACTGCGCCACGATGCTTCGGTTGGACGCATCCCATTCCATGCGCGCCTTCACAATGGTCAAGGGCGACATCACGAGCCCCGCGAACGATCGCGCGAGAGCCCCGCCCAAGAACGCAGACACGGCATCTCGATTCTGCACCTGAAGTTGCTCCAGCATCCCAAAATACAGCCCTGCACCACCACATACTCGCAGCAACGTGGGTGTGGTGCCCCGCCATAGGCCTGGCACGCCGTTCTCTGCAAGCAGAAATTGGACGCTCTGGCGGACATTGTGCACCTCCGAGCCAAACTTGCCCTGCTGGTGAGTCCGTATGACGTCCAGCGGCTGGAACGCGATGGCAGACAGCCCTCCAGACACGGCACCCGTGCTGAAGTGCTTCCACGACTTGTCCATGATGATGGCGACTGCAACAATGCGTTCATGATGGCGATTGGCGGAGACGGCGGAGGTGTTCCGGATATTATCCGGAAGATTGCCGTCGACGGCTTTGTCAAACTTACCTGCAGCTGCAACGTACCATACTGTAGTACTATAAATAGTATTGCACCAAATACGATATATACATATATATATATTGTTTATCGAGTAATAATGGGCGTAAACAACGAGAACGGCTCGGGCGAGTGGTGCCCGTTGATGACCCTTCGGCCATTCACACCGTTAACTTGCCCGTTGACAGGAGCTCCATTGCTGGGGTCGGTGGCATGATGTCTGCTGCCGTCACATGAAGGCCCTTGCACGTTGGATGGTGCTGGGTTGATGCCAGGAACTCTAGACGACGAATCAGTAGCAGCAGATGCTTCATAGCGCTGTCGTGCTTCTCGCTCCATTTGCAGCTCCAAGTCGCGCGAAGCTAGCGATTCGTCCATGGCCGTGGGAAACATCTCCCGCATGCACACTGCTTCCTTGTCAAACTGGAGGGCAATGGACCCCAACGACCCGTCAAATCTATCCAAACATATTGTGCTTTCGAGTGAAATTTCATTGTGTTGTGGTTTCTCGTTGGAATTTAAATCGATTTGATTGGCTACTTCAGATGAGCTCAAAATTATTAGCCAATCAAAACCCATTTCTCAATGAAATTCAACCAATCAGATCGATTGTGGATCGGTTTGGTCGGCGCGATTCGATTGCACCCCCTCCCCAAATTTGTATCAAATCGACAATATATATATATATGTTATAAACCCACACAATACTAATAGTATTTGCATCAAGTGATACGTAGTACCGGTTCTTGCGGACGTCCAGCTTGACATCGCCGCGATTGCGCTGCAGAATGAGCACATTGTCCGCTTCCTGTGTGGCTTTGGCCGTTCCAAACACGGACGACAGCGTCAAGTCCGTGTCATCTTGTTCTTTCCGAGGGTGAATCACCAGTGTCACATGCACATTCTTGGCCGTGGCAAACTTGCGAAACTGACACCACAATTTGTTTATTATCAAAGCCAACTTTCCATATATATATATATGGTTGGTGTATATATGTTGTACCTTATCCAGGGCAGCGTCCTGCCGCTCAAACTTGTCGTACCCGCGGCCTTGCCCAGACATCATAAACTGCACGTTGTCCAGGATCACATGCTGCACATCGTACGCGTACACGGCGTACTCCATGGCGTCCAGCACCTCGTCCACGTCGGAACTGCCGAAGAACCGCAAAAAGTACATGGGAAGCGCCTCAAACTCGTCCGCTGTGCGCTCAAACAGGTCCAGATTCAGAGCCAGCGACCGCCCCGCCATCTGCGTGAGCATCTTGTGCACCAGCCGAGTGTTCTTGATCTCAAACGACCCCCACAACGTACTCACGCCTTGGGCACACCTATATATATATATTTCGAAATTCTGCGTGATTGCAATTCGAAAAACCAGTCACAAATCTCGCCGGGAAGATTCATCCGATTCCGCAGAAAACACGACGAAAAAAGAATGTAGCCAATCAGCGACTAGCATTTATACATTGACCAATGGAAGCGATTGTTTGTAGTAAAAATATAAAAATAATAGAATAATTTGTTTTCTTGTGATCGGTTTGGTCGACGTAACAGGGAAATTTATACCAAACCAATAATATTGCTGTGGTGTTTCGTCCAAACTCGAGTGATATGAATGAATCGAATGAAAAGGCAGAAGAATGTAGCCAATCAGAGCGCAGGAAAGCACATACTACAACTAAATAGTGTGTGATTTCAAAATAGTGTGAAATACGCCTCTGCACTGGTCTACATACAAAATTCATTACATAAAACCAGTGCAAAGAATTGTGCTCAAAAGGACATCTATCCATCCAACGCGATTATTTTTCGTTCACAACATACATTTCCATCAAAGTAAGTATATATATATATATATTGTCGATTTGATCCAAATTTGGGGAGGGGGTGCAATCGAATCGCACCGTACCAAACCGATCCACAATCGATCTGATTGGTTGAATTTCATTGAGAATTGGGTTTTGATTGGCTAATAATTTTGAGCTCATCTGAAGTAGCCAATCAAATCGGTTTAAATTCCAACGAGAAACCACGCCACAACACGAAATTTCACTCGAAAGCACAATATATATATATATTTATAATGTGTAGGGAATCGCGTTCAAGTACACGGTACAAAGATATCTCATAACGATTCAAGATGGCATTGGGTGATTACCAGTCGAGGGACAGTTGGCTCAGCAGCGTCGTCTTCCCGCAGCCCGTGGGCCCCGTGACGACTGTGAGCTCCCCGCTTCGAAACCCTTTCAAGTACGAATTCAACGCTGGGATCGACCGCGACTGCACACCACTTGCTCGCAGAGGGTTCATCATTTCGTCGAGCACCTACACGCAAGTCACATTTCAGACACTTTCAATCAACCCCCCACTACTAGTACTAACTAGTACTACTACTAGGAGGTGTGTACTAGTAGCCACGAACTACATCATATCACGTACTTCTGCCCGCAAGTCGTCAAACGTCGTGATCTGTGCATGCGGTTTGAGCGTGGCCTTGTCCAGAATCGCATTCAGGTCCATCTTGGCCAGTAGCGCGTCGTTGGCGTCCTTGGCGCCCGTGGCCCGCACAACGTACGTCCGCGCCACACCCAGCTTGGCCACAAACTTGTCGACGCTTTCCTGACCATGTACGTCGCTGTCCATCCAGAGGTAGATGGACGAGAAGCGCTCGAGGAGCGGCAGGACCGCCGGCGGGAGGGACCGACATCCGTTGGGCAGCGAAATGGCCGGCCGACCGGTCGCTTGATGGACGGCCATGGCGTCGAACTCGCCTTCGGTCACCACGACCGAGTCGGCGTCGTGGGGGATGGTGTTCCAGCCAAAGAGCCCCCAGCTGCCGCCTTTGGGCACGAGGCGCTGCTTGGACTTGTCGTCGATGGCGCGGACTTTGAGCCGCACGACGTTGAAGAGGTTGGCGTCGACCCCTGACGAAGAAGCCGGGTCGTCGGGGGTGGCCAACTCGGCCCCCATCGCGGCAATGTCCACCTTCCGCGCCATCCACGGAAACGTAGCGCACCATTTGGTCTCGGACTCGCCGTCCTTGCCGTAGAATGGCTGCTGGATCGCACCGACGCAGTATTTCGACAACACATCAGGGTCGAGTCCTCGGGTGGTCGTGAGGTAGTCCAGCACGTGGCGGCAGTCCGCGTCATCGTGGAGATTCCGCGTGAGCGCAATGGCTTTCGCATTGTCCAGCGCTGAAATGGCAGTGGGAACGTCGTGGCGGGACGACTGGTGCGAGTCGGCATACCCCATCGACGCTTCCACAACGTCGTTGGAGGCTCCGAGCTATACATAACGGAACGAGGCCACGATGAGGATACATATGTGGAGGATGGAGGGAGAGAGGGGGACGCACGTTTTGTTTAAACGTGAACCAGCTGCCACTGGCGCCGCACCGATGGCAGATGTACACGCCGTTGGATTTGTTGATGTACAGTTTGAACAGGTTGTCCGCGCGGCCCTTGGTCGCATGACAGAAGGGGCAGTCGCGAACGACGTAGTGCGTGGACGTTTCCTTGAGCACAAGGCTCTTGCGACGGAGATATTCGTCGATGGCACGGTGGTCGTCCAACTCGTAGTACTTCGACACGAACGCTTTCGTGTTGTTCACTGTCGAGGCCACGGCGGCGGATGAATGGAAGGATGACGCAGTTCCTGCGAGAGAGTGGGCGTGGGAGAGAAGCGTTGTGGCTGCATGCAGACCTCCAATGCAATGGCGGCGACTTCCCATAGCGTGGCGGAGCGATGCGCCGACCAGGTATCGGCGCATGATGTTGCTGTTGGAATGGCAGAAAATACGACGACCATTTTCGATTCGCACCATTGAAACCAGCCAATCAGAACGCTTGAAAATATCATACGAAGTACTCCGAGTATTGGGCCATTTCTTGTGCATTTTATGACGCAGAATTGTGCGCGCAACATCGCAGGCTGGGATGCAGCGGGAACGAACGTCGTCAGGGAACATGCAGCCGTCTGATCGTCTCCCAATTTCCATTTTGCCGAGGTTGGAGCAGCAGCATTGAGATGCTGGCCGCTGGACCCTTCCTTTTATGCATGGGTGCCGTCGTGGTGGTCGTCATCGCCATGAAGGTGTGCTTCCGTGCCCTCGTTCACGCTGTTCACGACCATGCCGCCTTCCGCGATTTGGTGCACAACGTCACCGGAGGTACTACTACGTGACAGTCCATTTCTACTTCTATTCTCTTATGCTTCACTCGTAGAGCTCACGGTGGTGGGCTGCATCTACCTCGTTGTCAAGCTCTGCCTCGTTGTCGGGATTGTCGCTCACGACAGCGCCGCATTCAGCGCGCTCGATGCCGCCGACCTCGTCGTGTTTTCCATTACACTGTCCCTGGCCATTCATGTGTTTCTCGTGCTCTTGTGTCTTCGCTCGCGGAACAAGGTCATGGACGTGCTCTTCCTCCGCAGCCCCATGGACGTCCTCACGGCCGCCGCTGCGTCGTTGGTACGGGCGCGGCATCGATCGTCGCTTGCCCAGCTCTACGCCGCGCGACACCACACCCGTCAGCTGCACCTCAAGGCCCTCGAGCACTATTTCCTCGGCTTGTACGACCTTCCGCCATGCTTTTCGTTTGCTGCGTATATCCGCGCTATTCAAACGCGGCACTGTGTCACACATATCCTCCAAATCGACGCGTGCACGTGGCTAGTCCTCCTGTTTCAACTGTGTCTCATCTTTCCATGGGACCTCTTGCCCCCCAATGACGACAACTCTGTCCTTCCCGACAGCCTGTGCATCTTTGCCGCATTCACAGCAGTGCTGACCATTTCAGCGCTGACACTGCACGTGTACTTGGCCCATGCCCTGAATTCGCTCTTCCAGCATGTGGTGGGCAAGCAGGGCGAAGCGATGGAGGCAGTCCGCCGGTTGACCTCCCAACAAGTCTGTACTTGCATGTATGCACTTGACACGACGACGTTCTCACACGATTATGATAGACGCTGTCGTGGAGGATGCCGTCAATGTCGAAGGAGACAATCCATCGGCTGCGTACTGGTGTCCTGATAAACAGGGGCAGCAGCGCAGCGCCACACAGTGCGCCACGTGGAGTGGAACGGCGCTGCACCCGCGGACGATCCAACGGTGTGTCCGACTTGTAGTCGTGACAAATGCCTTACTGGTCGCATTGCTGTGGACGGTGGTGGTTCCTACAGCCCATGTCAGAGGAGGAGTATGGATAGCCCTTGCCCTAAGCATTCCGTTGGGCGTGAATTTGCTCGTCTTGGCAGCGGAAGTAGTCCATAACGCGGCGATTATCCAAGGGGTGTGGTATGTCGACCGGGAAACCTTTCGCGATGCCATCGAGCGTACCGAAGAGATGGAGATGCTGAAGATGCATGTCATTTCCCAAATGCAGGTGTACATGTGGGAGCACCGCCTATCTCCGCAGGACCTCGTAGTCCTCGTACGGGATGTTGCTGGAAGCAGTGACAGCTTTGTCCATGTTCACGTCCTGCGCGGCATCCTGCAATCGATATTTCATTTGCATGTGACCAAGCACAAGCTCAAGACGCTCCTTCAACTCACATGTAGCATGAAGAGCGGCTCCCGATTCAACATCATGGACTTGATTGCCCTCTTGGACGCGCAAGGACACCACGGCAGCGGCGCCGACTTGGAGTTTTTTCTCTGAAATTTGAAAAAAGGACATCGTATTCATTTGTACAGTAGTTATTACAATAATTTATAATTGAAGGAGATTCGATATGAAGGGTATTTGAATTATAAAGGGGGTATACATGACGTACATTCTGGTATGAACTCAAAAAGTAAATTCACCCGTTTCTCCGAAGAGAACATGAGCTGGTTGTCCAACTCGCTGCAGTTGGCGGGGGAACTCTTGGAGTCCGTGGACCAGAAGGCGTCAGGAAAGCTCAAGCAGCGTGGAGGTACTACCCTCATGGGATGCCAAGAAACAACGCTTATGGATCATATGCCTAGAGGAGCGAAAGAAACCAAAGCAGGTGTCTGAAGAAGGTAAGACTTGCCATCATAGGAATCCAAGTGCAGAACGATATGTGCGTCGTGTCTAGCATGGGAAGTGAAACACGTCAGTGGCGGGGGCTATGTGGTACTCGTCATACTACCCATTTGCTGCTCGATCTGAAGGTACGACGTAGGACACCGCTCAACAGCAACAGTTGCAAGTGTCCACTGAGTTCGACCCTCTCAGTCGCTCGAGCTCGTCTATGCAACTCGCGGCGGCGGCAAGTCCATCAAATGGAGGTCCGGACGCAGATGCATTTTCAGAATGGAGTGAAGTCGACACCGAGAGCAACAGTGGGCTCATTATGTTCGACGAGCCTCCGCTGTCATCGTCGTCGTCGTCGAGGTCCCATCCGTTGCCACCGCTTCCCGCCGACATGCAAACAATGAAGTCCGAAACGTTACGGTACCCAATTGCTTCTTACCCATGATCACATTCACATGCGACAATGCAGATTGCGTCGAGAGAACTCGAAGCTGCGCAACGATCTGTCGGCGGTGGAGCGTCAGTTGGCCAACTCCACCGAGCAGTTGGCGGTGTGCCAAGACGAACTGGAAGCGCTGGACAAGGAGTGCACGGACAAGATCACGTCCCTCGAACGCCAAGTACGAACAGGACATTCCCCTTGTGTCATTTCAAATAACACTGGGTCCAACTCTGGCTTGTTTTCACTTGTGGTTGTAGATTGGGCAATTGGGCTGCGATAAGGCGGCAGACGAAGCGCACTTTGTCGCTGCCCTCGGTGTTAAAGATGCCCATGTACTCACTCTCGAAGGACATTTGACGGCATCCAAGCACGCCATTCAAGCGTACATCTACCTCCTCCGTCTTGATCTGACAACACTCATGGGAATGTATGTAGACACGTGGCCGAAATCGCGACACTCAAGCAATCGATTGAAGACCTCACACACACAAAAGACCAAGCGTGGACCCACGCCGCGAGGTACTTAGACGAATCGTAGTACTAGTCGTACTAGTCGTACTAGTAGTACTAGTAGTAAGATGTCGTATTGTAGTAGTACTAGTACTAGTAAGATCAGTTGGCCGCGCGTTTGTGGCGTTTGTGGTGTATGATGTGATGGAGATGTATCTATATAAGAGTAGTAGTACTAGTAGTAGGACCTCGTACAAGCAACTTGAGATGGTTGTCCTAGTGGGGAAGCGCAGCTGGAACAGCGCGTGGCGTCGCTGCTGGCCGAACTGACGGAAGCGTCGGCCGCGCATGTGCAACTGAAGAAGGAGTATGCTGACTCGAAGCAGTCCATGTACGCGAGACAGTGTGCGCTGGAGGCAACCAACGCCGAATTGACAACTCAAGTCGCCACCCTCCAACACGCATCGACGGAACCCACGGTGTCGGTACGTCGTCCAAGTTGAAGGCAAAGGGATGACGTGGCAGTAGAGCCAAACGAAGAACAGACCTCTCCAGGAAGCCCAAGACATGCTTGCATCCACCAAGAAGCAGCTGCATGAAGAATGCCGCAAGGCCATGCACCAGGCCCAGGAAATTTCCAAGTTGACCGCTGATATGACAGCATTGCAGGCCATGCTGGTTCACAAGGAGGCGTCGCATCATGCGGCCGTCCTGAGTTTGCAGAAGGAGCTCCATGAGGCTCGCACTGCTCGGCCGTCGGCAGGCACCGCGCCCGTGCTGACGACGACGACGGCGGCGGCGGCGGCGGTGCCAGATGGCCAGATGCAGGCCATGACGCGGAGGTTGCTTGAAAAGCAGGAGCAACTGGATGCGGTGCGCAGTCGCTACACGACACTCGAAGTCCGATTCAACGACCTCAAAGCGGCCAAAGACGCCCAAGACAAGGTCCGATGATGGGTGATTATACTGATTGGCGTCGTGATATGTGTGACACTGTGCAATGAATGGCGTTATGTGCGATACAGTACAATGTCATCACCGTGTGGGATGTGTGTAGAACGACGATTTGGAGCTCAACATTCGAACGGGGAGGACCCCGCGAGGTGGACACCACGGCCTGCGACCTCGCCACGCCCCGCACAAGATTGCAGCCGGTACACTTATATATATGTCTATATATATTGAATATAGTTGAAATCTGATATTGTCTTTCTTTTACCCAAAATTTAGACTTTTGTGTCGATATGTAACGTTACTGACTTTTATATGTCAAGATCGTCCAGTTTCACACTAATATTTCTCACACACTAATTCGATGTTGAATTACTCGGATACTTTGATTGGCTACTTGATGTTCGTGTTGTGCGTTTTGATTGGTCGATCGATTGTCTGCCGATGTATTTCGAATCGACAATAATATTGATGATGGATACAGTGGAAGCGGCGGATCGATGGCTCTTGAGCGTGGGGCGGTTCCTACGGGCGTACCCGGAAGCCCGTCTGGGGCTTCTGGGGTATCTCGTGCTGTTGCATCTGTGGGCGTTTGTCATCTTGGGGTTCCACACAAGCCACCTCAGCGACGAAGTGAAAGCAAAGGCCACTCCATAAGTAGGACCATGTAGGAACATGAACGAGGTTGTGCATGTACTTGCAGTTTCAACGGTGGCGACTGCTGTAGCAATGATGCACTTGATTCGATCAGACATCGAACAAGGAAGCTTAGCTGGCTAGTAAGCTGTAGCTAGTGTACCCCCCCCCGATGTGCATGTATGTAGTAGTCCTGTCTACTTGAGGAGATGGTCTGGCACACATCTAACGTGATCCCTTCATATGGAGGCAGCAGTACGTAGTCGAAGAGGTTTGTCGAAATCATTCGCGTTATGAGCATGGTAAAACATCCATGTTCTGAGAGTTTGCGTTCACCGAACCAAATTCACACATGTGCTGCCACCGACTCGTCGAGCGCAATGGGGACCGCTTCCCAAAAAGCCAACTCCAAATGCGTGGCCCCCATTCAGCAACGCTTGAATGTACCGACCTGCTGTCGCGATAGAGGCGCCATCAGGAAGAACAAGGGTGGCAAACCCATCGCTCATGTGACCTGGACCTGTGGATTTGGGGTAAGAGTCCACCAGACGCATAGTGGGACGTACTGAACAAGGTAATTCGTTAGCTTCAGATCATGAACAGGCGTTTGTTACATGGGAATAATAATATTTCAAGTATTAATACATTTGAAACCATAATACGACCACGATATACACAGAGCAAGGTATTAAAAGACTGTTGGTATTCTATTATTATAACAAATCTCAAATTTTTAATTTATACGCGATAGGTTACATGCAAAACCGTTCGGAGGGTCCATGGAAATATCGGCGGCGGCGCGGTACACGATGGACGCGGAGGTGCCTGTGACCGGCCATCCAGAGACCGACGAAACCAAGTGGCTGCGGCGCTGCCTGCCAGTGTTCGTCCAGCCCCAAGTAGATCTGGACAACGAGAACCACCTGATCAAGATCCTGTACTCGTTCGTGCGCAACTCCACAGACGGGTTGCTGTCGTGCCATCTCTGCGTGATCTTTGCCGGTGAATCGTCCTACAATCGAAAACACGAGCACAAACACAACTCCCTCGCCACGCTCTTGTATCGGTCGTTCAACCGGCATGCTTACGAACGCACGGCGGACATCAACTACATGGAGTACCGCAACGTGGACATCACGCCAGACGCGGTGCAGCCATGGCAGAGCATCCACACCGAAGATCACTCGGGGGTAAATCCATTCGTGGTCAACGTCCATTCACACGTCAGTCATGTAGGCGCAGCGGTGGTCGCAAGGCGACAAAGCCAACATCTGCAACTGGTTTTCCCTCATGCATCATTACGAGACGGAAGTTCCCATCGAGGAATGGCACGTCACTCCTGGCCCAAGCGCGCGGCCGTACGTGTACTTGAACACGTGCAACCACATGATCGGCGAGACAGACAACAACCCGCAACTCCCCAAACACGAGTGGGTCAACTACCAGTTCCAACAAGGCGACGCGTACGATGCACTCGCGTGGGTGAAGGACCACATCCCAACCAAGATGAACCTGTACTCGATCTGCTGCTGCTGCTGGGCCAGGAACGGCGGCGGCTGCTGCGACCGCCACGTCATCGTAGGCAGCAAAGCGCACCACAAGCTCGTGTCGGCCACCCCCAGTAGCAGCGACAAGACGCACTATGTGCTACACGAAGACGACCCAGACAACGTCGTCGTCCCAGCGCCAAAAGCGGTGAAAACTTTGAAACAAAAACGAGGCTTTTAACTTAATGTACTTGCTCTCCACCAATCCGAGCCCGTTTTAACCTACCTTTTCGAGATTAGTGCAGTTTGCAGCGTCGTTGGCTACTCTATATCCCACTACATCGTCATTCTGACTCTTCTCCTGCAATGCTTGGTCCTCCGACGGCGCTCCAGCCATCGTCGTTCTTCCTCGTGTGGAAGTACATGCTGAAGAAACCAACTGCGCCGAGTCATCCGCAGACCGAGGTCTCCCCACCCGCAAAGGACATGCCCAAGCCAGTGTTCAAGACGACAATGCAGATCGAAGCACAGACGTGTCCATGAGTTCATTTAGCTTTGAATATGAATACACACAATGTTTTGCATACTCGGAAGGGATAAGAAGACTGCAGCATTACTCCACATTGTCTTGCTTACCCCGTGAAGGAGGCAGGTATACATACACACCGACAAGGTTGTGTACTACTCGAACAGAAAGATCGTGTGGTTGACAGTCCAGATCTGCCCAGCTTGGATTCAATAGCAGGCCAAAGGTTTGGTCCTATCAAAACTCCCCTGTCCACACAAGTCAGCGTGTTTGTACAGTGTGGAGGCGGTTCGCCACACAAGTATAGCTACTTTGCTCGCGCGTTGTCACAGGCTCCTGTCCACACCTGATGAGCTCCCCACCAGTCAATTCTCAAGCCAACCAGCAAAACACTGTCGTTATAACGTGGCAATGAACACTAACTATCCCTCGCGATTCTAGGACCTGCATACATCTCTCGAAACGACCCAATCGCTTTCCCTTACGTGGGTTTTACAGGCGGCGTGAGGTCCTGAGGGGCGTACCGGTCCGCCTGAATTGGCGGCGTGAGGGCGTGGGTGTACGTGCCTTCGTTCATGGCGAGCATGGTGGCATCCCAGTCGGCCCACAGTTGCTTGAGCTTATCAAACACGTCGGGCAGGCGCTTCTTGAGGTTGCCGCGCTCGCGGGGGTCTGCGACAATGTCAAACAGAAACTCGTTGCCGTTGATCTTGAGGTACTTGAACTTGCCGTCGCGGATGGCGCGTTGGCCGTGCGCTTTGTATCGCCAGCACAGCGTGCGGTCGTGTTCTGGAGCAAGTTGCTGCAGAATCGGAAGCAGGTTCTCGCCGTCCGTGGGGAACTCGGCGGTGGGTACCAGCTTTGCGGCGGCCAGCAGCGTCGGCAGCCAGTCCATCGTCGCCGTCACCTGCGTCGACACATGCGGCGTCGGCAGCCCCGCGGGCCACCGCATGATCGTCGGTACCCGCAGTCCCCCCTCCAGCAGCTCCGTCTTCTGCCCCGTGAATGGCCACGTCTTGCTATACCGCTCACCGCCGTTGTCACTAGTGAACACCACGATGGTGTCGTCGCCGAGCCCGGCGCTGTCGAGGGCGTCCAGCACTTGGCCGACCGACTGGTCCAGCGCCTCCACCATGCGGCCGTACGTGGCCTGGGTGCCACCGTCGTAGTGGAAGATGCTCGTCAGGTTCTTAGACACTTCTTCGTCCTCGGGTCCTTCCCACGGCCAATGCGGCGCTGTAAAGTGCAACGACAAGAAGAACGGCTTGTCCTTGCGCTCCGGCGCGGTCACGTACGCCGACGCTTCGTCCGCCAGGATCTGCGTGTAGTACCCCACGCGGTCGACAGGCGTCTCGCCCTCCCACAGATCGCGAGCGACGTGCTCCCCGACGCCAGGCTTGTGCGTGAAGTAGTCGATGACACCGCTGAGGTTGCCGAAGAAACGATCATAGCCGCTTTTCAGGGGGCCGAAATCCGGCAATGGGCCGAGGTGCCACTTGCCGAGCAGCGCCGTGTCGTAGCCAGCGTCGCGGAGGATCGATGGAAGCGTGGGGTGGTCGGGGGGCAAACCGATGGGGCCACGGGGCCCCACTGACGTCGGGATCGGCTCTTCCAACCCTCCAGGCAGACGGTACTGGTATCGACCTGTCATGAGCGCGAAACGAGTCGCCGAACACACGGCCGAGTTGGCGTATGCGTGGGTGAACCGCACGCCTTGCGCGGCGAGCTGATCCAAGCGCGGCGTGGAGTAGTCGACCTGGCCATATACGCTCAAGTCGGCCCATCCGAGGTCATCAGCCATGATGAACACAATGTTCGGCTGCTTCTCTGTCGTCGTCGCCGCCATCGCTTCTGGGTGATCGATTGCAAAGTGTGCATCGAAAATCAGATGTCATGACTTTCAATTGCTGTCGGTCAATTATCTACCAATCACAACATTGCAAACATTTCCGTCCATATTTAGGGTTAATAGAACCTTTCTCAACAAATATTCATATGTATAACGTTTCACGATATATTTGCGAACAACCACTTCTTACGACACCACGAGCGCTTCAACTTCGCCACTACAACCAAAGTACCGTTGGTTCAGACCCGCCCATCCTTGAATCCGAATGGGCGTGGCGCCGCTGAGCACGCCGTCCAACATGGTCTTTGACGGCTCGCCTCCTTGGATCTTCCACATGGCTTTGAAGTCCTCTGGGTACTCCGAGTGCGTCCCTGGCAAGCAGTGCTCGTACACCATCACGACCATCTTGTCCATCTCGTCGTCGGCGTCGGCGTCGTCTAGACCTTGCGCCCTCGCTTGCACCAACACATCGTAGCGCCACGCGAGAAACGTGAGGCTGTCTACGTCCGTCACGTCCATCACAACGTGTTGGTCATCATCCTCATAGTCTTCCGAGTTGGCTTGAACCTCCATGTTGGCGGTGTGATTCATGCCAGCGTGGTCGCAGTGGCTGTACAACGTACCCAGCAACCCCGTGAGGTTGTACCGGTAGCTGTGCACTCCCAAGTTGGTCGTGTCGACAATGTCTCCGTACGTGAATGGCACATGCTGAAACCACGGCCGCGTGACAGCGTACTCGTCCACACTGGTCGGCACGCCGTCGACTGGCAAGCGCAGCCGGATCGTGGACGTTGCGTCGACGGTGGTGCCATTCACCACACACGGTTCAAAGTTGATCGGGTGGTTATACGCTTGTTCCTTTGTCAGCTTGAGTGGACGGACGCGGCAGTGGTGGTAGATTGCATGCAAAATGTCAATGGTAGCATGGTGGCCGTAAAAGACGGGGTCGGTTGTGGTGATATAAAAGTTGGCGACGGCGCCGGCGAGGAGGAAGTGCATCGTGTCGTGGGGGGACCGCTCGACGCGCATCGTAACCGAGTAAATGTCGTCGTCCGGCTGGAACAAGACGCGCTTGATGGATGTGTACGACAGCGCGGTCGAGTTGAAGTGCGTGCGCATCCATGGACCCCGGGGCATGCAGTGCATACACCGGGGCGTACCGGGGGCTTCGCACGCGTGGGACACTGGGGCACTGCCCACGCACTTGAAGTGCGGGAACGCAAACCCGCCCAACAGAGTCGACGAAAAGCTGCCGTTCGTGGAGCCCCCAAGCCCGGCTAAGAAGGGCGAGCACGACTCGAGGGACGTGCATTTGCCGAGGAGGTAGTCGAGGTTGTTTTGGATGTAGTCGTAGAACGGCAACGTCACGCACGCAAACCGACGGCCGAGCGACCGCAGCATGTTTTCATAGCCCAAGATGAACTTGCGGTGCCAGAAGAAGAACAGCACGTTGTTGTGCGCTTCGTTCGTGATTAATGTGTCGGCGTGGATGTCCACAAAGAGCTGGTGGAAGCCCCGGTCCATGGCGAGGGCCACGGCGTCGACAAACAGCTGCTGGTTCTGGGAGGGCGTTTGGTCCCATGATTGGCGGATGCGCGGGGGGCACGCGGGTGGAGGGAGGGGAGGAGCTGGCAGCCGTTGAGCCACATCCTTCAACGCCACGGAGCGAACGGGGAGGACGGGGGACGCTTCCGCTGTGTCGTATACACACCAAATATTCGACGACGTGATGGAGTCACGTGTTGTACAGCTGAACCAACTGCATCCCACGGATCGAACAGAAGGACTGAGCAGATTGGTGAATGCCCCGCATGCTGTTGAGGCTGTCATCGTGACTTCTTCCACGCACGACTGCGACGTGTAGTTCCAGCGCGACGCACCATGGACATACCACGACCAAGAAGGACCTGTGTCTGGACAACCAGACACGTCGTTGTCTGGAGGCGGCAAGCAGGGAGCAACAATGTCTACAGTAATCAAGTGTCCATCTATAACATTCGGGTAGCCATTGTCGAAGCTTGGACATAAACTGCCATGGGCTTCGGCGACACCGGCCAATGTGTCATTCCATTCGATGGGAGCTAAGTCGTGGGCATCTCGAAGGACGTTGTGCTCGTGGACGAGTTGATGCTGCAGGAATGTAGTCGTGTCTGAGATTGGATGCATCGCATGTGCCGTCGCCACGACACTTGTAAATGCAAGCAAGCAGCAGGATACAGTCATACGTGCCGGCTGACGGTGCAGAACGGATTCGGTTGTTCAAGAATTCAAGATTGAAATGTGTGACGACGGCTAACACGACATTGAACTTTGGGGACGACTCTACGACATTGCACCACCACACTGGAATATTCTACACACTTCAACGTGGCATCACCTCACCATCAACGAAATTGCAAACTATATTGCAAAAGGAATTGGAATGGCAACTGTGCATTTGTACACTCAGCGTGGTATATGTGCTCTTCTCTTCTTATCTAGTTCCGAAATAAAGTGGCCTAATCGCACTGAGCGTAGCCAAATTTTCCAGTACAATGCAGAGCGATATGGATTTAGTAACTGCATTCTGTCAACTAATGGCAAACATATTGTATTACACCGAAAGCCAGCTCTCCATGGTGAGGTGTATTACAGCAGAAACCAGGAACATTCAATGAATGTTCTTTTGACTTTTGACTACAACCGTCAGATCCGGCATGTCGTCGCGGGTTGGCCTGGCAGCGTGCATGATTCGACAGTTTGAGCCTCGTCTTCCTCTGCTCGCCACCCGGACTGCTTCTTCGATGCCAACCAATACCAAGCCGGCGACTTTGGCTTCACCTCTTTGTGATTGCGCATGCTCACGCCCTACCGGCCCCCCTACGCCGCCGAAAGCGGCAACGACTCATTCAACACTGGACATGCAAGCCTCCGTGTGGTATGTGAGCATAGCAATGGAATCCTGAAAGGCCGCTGGGCTAGCCTGTCATGTCTTCCAGTATTCATTCGCCGGATCGGCGAAGATCACATGCCATTGTTCGTTGAAGAAATCCGTCAAGGCAATATATCCGATTCCCCAGTTGTCGAGAGCTCCCTCATTTGGCGTGAAAAGATTAAATCCGAACTGCTGAGCTATTTAGGTTTGAATTAAATTCAAGCAAAATTAGTTGAGTTGCAAGTCGAGTTCACTTCTCTTTATGTCAGATTTGTTATTCTTCATCGAAGGCAATCGACACAAGGTCACGACTACCCCTGATGCTACAAGCTTTTCAATCAATGGCGACTTGGCTTGACGCATGTCTACCACTGCAGCTGCCGCGCGAGCGGCCTTGTCACTCTCCTTCATGTATTCGAACTTTTCCCGTTCGAGCTGTGTCACTTGACTGTGCGCGTCCATGTAGACGGTCAAAACGTCCTTGGGCGGGGTGAGCCGTTTTTCGGGAGCCGGGAACTGGCGGGGGATGGTCGGTTTGGCCTTGGGATTGTCCGCAGCCAGAGATGGGAGAGCTGCTGGTATGCCGATGGGCAGCGGTGGGTTGTGCGGGGTTCTCCACATCGTTCTCTGCCCAGTAGGCATCACGGGCGGGGTCGTCGTGGGCCTCACAGTCGTCTTGGTTGCTTGTGTGCATGGGGTGGTGGCCGAAATGTGTGACGTCGACGTCTTCATGGTCATTCGTTTCACCATCGTCGCTGTTTAGGCCATCCGATGAATCGTACTCGTTCTTACTCGAATCTTCTACATGGTTGCGGGGTTGCAGTAAATTATCATTGTTTGATTCAGTATTTCCATATTTTCACCTTGCACATAACTCGTTTCCACAATGTGCGACGGTCGAAAGTTTTGTCGCGCCCCAAAGAGTGAGTGCATTCATCTCGTTGTAAGTAGAATGGACAAATGCTCTCCAATTTGCTCTCGATGGTGTAGATCTCTACATTATATCAGAACGGAAACATCTCATGTTCAAATATATACTCTTTTTGAAGTCCTTGTCAGTCAAGCCACGCCCACTCTTGCTTGGCCCACTCCATCGTAGTGCCCGGCGGTATGATGCCATGTACGCGTCGTATCTAAGGCGTATTTAGTTGAATGTCAATTGAATATATCGAGATGTACCTTGATTTGGTATCATGTGTCGTCCACGGACGCACAGCTGGCACAACCGCGTTTACGTACTCCGCTAGCCTTGCCAGGCCATGCGACCGAGTCAGTTTTTGACCTCCTTTCATTGGTTTGCCTTTGGTAGCCTGCCCAGTCAGCAGCGCAAAGTTCTCGGGTATGCGCAGAAACTTGAGCATCGCCATACGCTCCGACCGTGAGGTTGCGGCGCGCTTCGACCTCTCCATAGCTGTGTTTTGGACTTTGCAACCGACGAGTAGTTATGTGCATCTTGATTGGCTATCACTATCTTCACGCTGATTGGCTTACATTCTGCTTTTCACTTTTCGTTTTTGAAAAGCTACTCGCGAGGTGCTTTTGCTTTTCGTGACGAAAAGAAAAACGCGAAAAGCAGTTTGCAAAACGAAAAGCAGTTTGGTTTCTATATTGACTCCCCCTATGTGTCGTCATGTAGGGAGTTGATAACGCAGAGAGAGAATTGTAAACTGTTTGATTGGCGTTATCTACATGCGTGACTTCTCTGACTATACTATATCTAATGCTATACATACAGTACGTACGCTCTGCAGAAGGAACTTCTGGTGTTCATGACCGAGCACGCCACACGCCAATCGAGCTTGGTCGTAAACTGACGTCAACAGTGACGTCTGTTCTCATTGGTCGATAACCCTATGACGCCGCTGGAGTGATGTCGCTACATTCTCCCCCGGTTATCGACTTCGCCGCTTGTATCTTCGCTCGCAGATCTTGAACCAGTCGCTTGAAATGGGAAACATGTTCAAGTTCTCAGGTCGCTTCGTAATCGGGCAAGCCATGCCACTTGACGAGGTACTCTTTCTTGCGGTTGAACTGCCGTTGCTCAGCAGCTCTTCGACGATGAAGACTTCGTGGCCACTGTCGTCCAAAAGCATTGGAGTCGCTTTGGGTATGGGTCGGTTGGTAAACCGATCCGTTTGGCCAGGGCACTTCTTCAGTCGATCGACATTGAAGACGTTGTGAAGACGCTTCATGCTCTTAGGCAACTCCAACTTCATAACATTCGGGTTGATGACTTGTATGATCTTAAAGGGACCAATGAACTTCGGTACTAACTTTGGTTTCTCATCCTTGTTCACCAACTTCGCATGCTTGATGGGGACGTTGCGTGTCACTAGCATTACAATCTCGCCTTCGCCAAACTCCAATTTGGAGCGTTTTTTGTCGTAGTACAGGGGAATGCAAGGCCTAACGAAGTATCCATTATTACTAATCTAGTATTGTCCAATGAAACGCACACATACTGTGTTTTGATTGGATATATTTTTATTCTCCCGCCAAAGCACCAATTCAAATAATTTCAAGTCATTCTTTTACAATGGCGCGCATCATGTACCCGATAGCCTTCAAGCTTCAAGCGTTGGGACTACTTATGACAGTGAACGACTATGAAGTCGCGCCGAGCTTGGTGTAGCGCGGCGCACCATACGAAACTGGCAAAGCAAACGCTCCGAACTCCTAGCCTACAAGGGTAACAAGAAACGAATGAAGCGCAAACCTGGCGGCCGCCCAGAAGTATTTCCTGACCCACCCGGAATGCTTGAGTTCATCCATGGATTGAGAGACGCTGAGCATGCGCTTACCACGATCCATATGGTCGCCTGGATCAAGCGTAACCAGCGTGCATGGCTCGTATCGTACTTGGCTAACAAGAAGACGGGCACTGGATACAACCCCCTCCTCCTCCTCCGACGCTTTTCCGCTCGACATGGACTTTCGAGACAACGACCTGGTACAAGAAAACGGAGCCAGGAAGGACTGGAGGACACGCGCGACATCTTTGCGGCAGAATTTCATCGTGAGTATCGTGCCCATGGGTCGGAAAGCGTGTACAACGTAGACGAGACATGTATATATTACGATATGCCGCCTAACTACATTTGGGCTCTTCGCGGTGGCAGCTCGAAGATCTCGTCGGGGGAGAAGCACTCCATGCGAATGACTGCAGTCTTGACTGCCAAAGCGGATGGAACGAAGCTTCCTACTTTATTCATCATGAAGGGTATACCTGGTGGCCGCATTGATGCGAATGAGTTTCCGACCTTTCCCGACGGTCACTCCTACGCTGTTCAAGAAAAAGCCTGGATGGACGGTCGCGTTTGGAAGACTTACCTGCGCACGGTGCTGCATGACGACATCGAAGAAGCGTCCGTTATCCTTGTGGATAATTTCGAATCGCACGTGTCTGAGGCTTCCTACAAAATTGTCAACGAAGAGCTTGGATCGCACCTCTGCCCATTGCCGCCGAATTCGACGTCCATATGCCAACCCCTTGACGTCAGCGTGATGGCTCCTTTCAAGCGGCGCCTACGGGAACTGTGGCTTTACGAAGACATCATCACGGGATATGACGACGATCCATTTTCACTTACCGCTCGTCAAAAACGGTTGGCCTTGATCAAGAGAGCCATCGCCGCTTGGGACATGGTGTCCACGGAGACGATTCGTGGCAGCTTTGAAAAGGCACTTCCTCAGGAGCCAATGGATTGTCAATCATTCGATTTTGTACGGTGTGTTTATATCATTAGATTTTTGTATGAGCCGCAATGATTTAAAAAAAAATAGGAAAAAGTTTGACACTCCCCATGAATTGAACCCGGGGTCCTTCCTCTATACTGGACCTCGGCTTCTTCGCATCGATTCAATCCCTACAGTACAAGTCCATGAGTCGCACTGTCGACGATGTGATTCGCTCGACCCTCGCTGCGTTCGAAGAGCTGAGGTAAGAGAAGCTCGAGAGCGTCTTTCCCACGTTTCAGTCAGTGATGCGACTGATCCAAAGGCAACCACTACGTCTTGCCTCACCTGAAGTTGGCCGCTTTGCGACGCGCTGGACTTCTGATGCAGAATGTGTCTTGTTTTGTGTCCCTTCTTTTGTAGGCTAGGACTTAATGACCAATGAAAATCTTGTATATCCTGATGAGCCAATAAAATCAATTTGTTCACAGTAATGTAGAAAAAGTGTGTTTTTCTTTTGGCATATTAATGTGGGACAAAGGAAGTAATTGTTATGCCGTCGCACTAAACCATTGCGCCACCGCGTCAAACGCTTACGCTTGTTCCGTGTTTGCTGTATCAATTATAATTGGCACTCTATGATTAAATGGCCTGCCAAAATGCAAGAATTTGACTTCGACAATAGAACTCAACACATCAAAAGTTGACGCATAATTTAATCTCCTCCAAAATTTAAATCATTTCAACAGTGATTTGAATATTATTTTGACTACCCGGATGCCATTGGTCGAAATGAAAACCGAATTTCGAAGTACAGTAACCAATCAGATGATGCAAAGGTCGAAAAGTCGAAGGTAAAAGTAGGCCTTGCATTCTGAATTCCCCTGTAGCTCTTTTGACGAGCCTGTGCTTTGTCAAGGTTCTCAAGTGCCATCTTGACTAATGCTTTACGTTGTTCGGAAAAGTTCTTCGCGTACTCATTCAAAGTTTCAACTTGATTAAGAATGGGGTTACGCAACTTTCTGCCCGTGTCCACTTCGAATGGAATGAGTCCCGTCGACGCTTGAATCAATCCTTGGTGCGCACACTCAATG